CAGACCTCATCCACCCTCCTCAAAGCATCTGGCGTCTTAGTCACTTCCTCACCCTTCCCCATTGGCCCACAAACACACTTGGTCTTTGCTAGTGTTAAAAATAAAATTCTCTACCTCCATTAACTCACCCACCCCCACTCATTCTTACTGTCCTCTATTCCTCCCAAACTCAACGTTAAAAGTCTCACCTTCTGAATATGCTGCCTCCTCCACGTCCTCACTAAACACACATGGCCCCTGCCCTGGCCAGTGTGGCCCGGTTGGTTGGGCATCAGCCTGTACACCGAAAGGTTGCCAGTTTGATTCTCTGGCAGGCCCATGACCAGGTTGCAGGCTCGATCCCCGGTAGAGGGTGTGCAGGAGGCAGCCAATCAATATTTCGCTCTTACATTGATGTTTCTCTCTTTCTCTCTCCCTCTCCATTCCTCTCTCTCTAAAAAGCAATTTAAAAATCTTAAATATATATATAAACACACATGGCACCCCACAATCTGCCAGTGACCTCCTGCGTGTCAAAGCCATCGCCTCCTCTTCCTCGGCATCTAGAAAGCATCCTTTCCCCTGGCTTCCAGGTCCCTGTCTCTTCCTGAAGTCCATTTATCTTCTTTCTCTTCCCACTCCCCAAATCTACAGCTCCCTCGGCAGTCCCACAGCCTCACCCTCACCTTTACCCAAACAAATCTCATTTCTGGATCCCTGGCCTGATTTCTCTCCTCAGTCCAACCCCACCTTTCTAACTAAATATCTCCAACTGGCACCTGGAATTCAAAATGACCCAAACTGAACTTTTAAAATCTGTTCTTTTCTCTGATGTTCCAGGTTTCCTTTTCTGGTGCGATCATATGACCTGCACTAAACCCACAGCGGCTCCTTCCCACCCAGCTCCCAGGTTGCACAGTGATTCTGCCCCAGCTCTGTTGGGTCCGCCCCTCCTCTCCACTCCCGCTCTGTCTCGCTGAGCTCACACCTTCACACTTGCATTTCTGACATGGTTATCTAATCAGTCTCCCCTTGTTCTATTCCTCCCTACAAACAACTGCCAGATAGATTCTTCCAAAGCCCTCAGTGGTCATCCACCGCCCACAGGGCAAAGTCCTGGTCCTCAGTCCAACACTCAAGGTCCTTTACACTTTGGCCCAAACCTAGCCTTCCAGAGAGATTTCCCATGACCCCCACTTCTCTCTGCTTGCCCTTATCCCAGGCAAAACATGTCCTTTCCTGGTTCAGAGCTCCACTCTTTCCTAACTCCAGGAAATTCTCTTCCTTCCATCTTTTCATGTCTGAATCTACCTTCTTCAAGATCCAGCTCAAATGCCCCCTCATCTATAAAACATTTCCTGATCCACTCAGTTAAAAATAACCTCCCCACTCCCCTGCATCCCACCTCAATTCATCTGTTCCTCCCTATGACACCTCTGTGTGCCTGATTTTTCCCGTGTACAGGCCTAAGGCAGAAGACACCCTGTTTCCCCTAGCAAACTGTAAGCTCTCCAAGGGCAAAAGGCCTATCTGAATTCCCCCAGTACTACACCTAAAAGATAGAAGGTACGTAATAAATCTGGGATAAATGAATGATGAAATGTGGCAAGGTGTTTGAATGAATGGGCCTCTAATACTCCAACGATATTTAAATGAAGGGGTTGTGTCATCAGTCGGGCTGGATTTGGATTTGATTTGGAGCAAAGAGGGAGCCTAAAACAGAGGGGTAAGCCCAGCATCTCACAGTGGCAGACCCCACCCCTTCCCCCGCCCCCAGTCACCACCCTTATCCCAGGCCACGAGGCACAGTACTAGGCCCTGTCCTCAGCCCCTCAGACGGGGTCAGAGGAGGAACAGCCGTCTTCCTCCTATGTCCACAGGGTCTAGCTCTGTCCCAGCCCACTACACCTCAGTGAGCACTAAACAGCCAGGTGGATGCAACTGGTCTCATTGGGACCTCCTTTCTGAGGGCACAAGTGGCCAAAAACACTGGACGGCAAGTGAGGAAACCTGAATTCCAGACCTGGCCCTGTCACAAACACTGAAGGCTGTGTGACCTTCAGCGTCACATCCAGACATGGGGCAAAATCAGCATTTCCAAAATGCCATTTCACAGGCCACCGAGCAAGGCGTCCACATCTGGGAGGATGCATCCATTAGCAAATCCCAGGCTAGCACTTTGCAGACTCAGTGAGGGAAGTGGTGGACCAGATGCTCCCTAGAGGCTCATCCAGTTGCACTGAGCTAGAAACAGAGAGCCCACTGGGGACACAGCTTGCAGGGGACTGGAAAGTCTTTGGGGTCTGCTCTTTCCCCAGGATGCCCGAGCTCATGACTCTCTCAGCAGACCTCCCCACGGTGGATCATGGCTGCTGCTGCATGGCTCTGTTGAGGGCAGGTGAATGGGCCTCTCCCCAGAAATAACCAGCCTGAGGTGGGTGAGGAGGGGGTTTTGGGAGGGCATACTTCCTGGTGGGACCATACACCCTCATCTCTCGTGGAGGGGTGGGTCAGCCCCAGCATGCACCAACCTCTGGCCCCTGGGATTTTAGGGTGGGGACCAGGGCAGACGTGCACATCTGCAACCAGGACTGGGCTGGAGGACAAGGGATGCACCAAGTCAGAAAACCGCCCCGCCTGTCCCCAATCTCTCTCTGCTTCCAGGAGGCAGCAGGAAGCAAGATGTCCCATATTCAGCCTAACAAATGCCAACGGCTTAAACCCAGCACCCCCATCCCACCCCGCCCTCCAAGAAGTCAAAGGACCAATGGCATCATTCTTGTCCTGCATCCTGAGGGAAGCCTCTCCACCACCTTCACAGGCAGAGGCGTTCTGGGAGGCCAAGAAAGGGCGGGAATTCCCAGATAGGGTGAGACTAGCCCTAGGCTGGTGTGCCTGTCACTAACTCACTGTCTAATCTTGAACACATCTCTTCATTCCTCTGGCTTTGGCTCCCTTACCTAGAAAATGAGGAGACGGAGTAAATCGATTCAAGGTTGCTTTCCCCTGTCCTTGAGCAAGCCTGTCCCCAAGACAAAGAGGAGGACCCTGATGGTTACAAAGGACTGGGGTCAGGGGGCCTGGTGGCTCCATCAGTGTCCTGGCATCTGAAGGGGCACTTGGTCCCCCACGTAGAGATGAGGAGAGGAGACTGTGGAGCCATTGCCCCGGCCCAGAGGGCCATGGGAGCAACGTGAAGACTCTGTAGGATTCCCCCAGGAAACAGGAATGGGAGGTTGTAGAGAACATCTGCCACCCAGTGAGGAGCAAACAACATGGGCATGGAAATGAGGCCCCAGGGGTGAGGTGGGAAGTCCAGGAGCAAAGCTGCGGCCGGTGGGCAGGGTGGCACAGTTCCGGGAAAGAATCAACCAGTCGGAAAAATTGTCATTATGGGTGTGGAGGGGAGCCACCCTCATGGTTGGAACCTCCCAGTGGGTGCAGAAGGAAGCCATCTTTTGGGGTATGCAACCTACAGCTGAAGTAGTGATCCAATCCACATGGGGAAGAACCCCCAGCCCACGTGTGAGCAGGGTGAGGAGGGCGGGAACCTTGCCCACTGGTGGACAACCCCTCCCTAGAAGCCGGGCCAGGGCACACCTCAGAGTCCAGGAAGGAAGGAGCATGCAGAGAGAGGATCTTTGCACAGAGCACCTGACTGCCTCCTTTCCCTACCCCAAGATTCCCCCTGAGAGGCCTGGGGAACCTTCCAGATGTCCAGACCCCTCGTTGGGAGAAAAGATACAGGATGTCCCTAAAAGGCTAAAAGTTCCTGGGCCTGTTGTATGGAAGCAGAGGTGGCAGCTGGGGCTGGGCGGAGCAGGGGAGGGGTTTTGAAAGGGAGAGGGTGGCAGTGGCTCGGGGCTCAGGATCCAATTACGCGGCTGTTTCCATACTTAGCCACCTGACAGCCGCTTGGAATCCTCGACACTCCAGCCACTGCAGCCCCACGGAGCCCAAATTAACTCAAGGGCAGACAAGGGCAGGGCCCAGCAGCACATGCGAAGCTGGAGCCCCCCCACCTTGGCCTCTAACTTGCAAGATAATGGCTTCTGCTGCCCCAGCCACCTGCTCTCCTGGTGGAGACTGGGCCCTCAAAAATCAGAACCTCAGAGATCAGAAAGGCTAGTGCTCTGGCCCCCACATCCCCTGTGTGGATGGAGACTGCAGTCATCAAAAGACAAAGCAGAGTCCTGGATTCCTAAGGGGGGGGGGTCCCCTAGAGCACCCTGAAGCATCCCCGGGGGAACCTAGCCCCAGGAATCTTGGGAACAGAGAGGTGGCAAAACGCTCTGGTATCCCCTCCACACCTATAAATAACCCCCGTGCTGTAACCAGAGCCGCTTCTGCCTCACAGTGCTGAGATGTCAAAGGAAAACCATGGCACACAGGCCCCCAGCCACTTCTAACAAAGCCCCAGCCAAGCCTAGTTCTACTCCAGAACAGTCCTGTTCCTCTGTCCAATTCCGTTTCCAGCCTCATCCCCAACTCTATCTCCACCCCTATCCCGAACTCACCCCCACTCTATCCCACTGCTCCTCAGACAAACCCCAACTCTGCCCAGCATGGTCCCCCGTCCTCAGCCATGCCAAGCCAGGCCCCCTGCCAGACCTCCACAGGGGGGAGGGTCAACTCAGTGACCTCCAGGGGCACCTCCCGCTCTAAGATAGGTTCATTTTGTCCCATTAGGAGGCTCCTCTAGTCTTGAATTTCAAGGTCCTCTTCCCTAGCATCTACTGGCCAGACCTTCTCTCTGGCCCCTGGCTCAGGCTCACCCCTGCCTGTACCTCTCAGTTCACTGCTTCTGCTTCCTCTGACCTCCCCGAGAGCCCCCTGAATGTTATCAGGCTCTCTCTGCCACCCACTTCTTTCTCCTGGACCCCGGGGGAGAAGAGAATGGGGGCAAGATGAGATCAGCCATCAGCCCCAGGAATCACGGAGGCCTCATTCTCCAACTACTGCCCAAGCCCCCCACAGCACGGAGCTGAAGTCCGGCCTGGCCCACGGGGGTGGGGTCATACCTGCTTGTCCTGGGAGCAGGAGCGACGCCACAAAGCAGCAGAGCAGAACCAGCGCCCTCATGGTGACTGCCAAGAGAGCCCAGCTGCTCTTGGCCTCTATTTATAGGGCTGGTGGCAGCGAGGGCGGGGGAGAAGGGTCACACAGTCACTAGGGCAACTGGGCGGGCGTGATGGGGAAGCAGCACCGACCCTGCGAGGCCGAGAGGAGCCGGCTCTGCCACTGCTGTGCCAGCTGCCAGGCCCCAGCAGGCAGGGCCTGGTCTCTCCCTCAGCAGTCCTGAGGTCATATGATGTGGGTCACAGGCGGGGGTAGCAGGGGGGGAAAGTGGGACGGCCCTTGAGTTAGGTCTGGGATCTGAGTCTTCCCAGTATTTGCACTCACTTGATCCAAAGTCTGAAGCAAGTCAATGACCTTGACATGTCTCAGTTTTCTGAACGAGGGAGTTTTCAGGGCCAAGCAACAAGAACCCTATTTGAGAACCACAGACATACATTTCAGCCCCTCCCCAAAGGTCAGGAGAATAAAGCCCTAAGAGTTAAGGAAAACCCTCTATGTCCGACCTTTGAGGTCAATGGCTCGGAGTTTAACCTTCCCAGACCCCTGGAAGAGGCAGAATGCTGATGGGAGAGGGAAGGGGGGAGCTAAGAGACACAACTGACGATGTGATGTAAGTCAGAGGGTGGAGGGACAGAGATCCATTTCCAGTGGCGCAGGGGTTCCAAAGCCTTCTGTCGCCTCCTCGAATGCTGTTTGATGCAATTTTCCTAAGGGCATGTGACCGCCCCAGAGAGCCAGTTCCATAAAGCCAAGGGAAAGCAGACACTGCTTGTCTGTCTGGGGGAGGGTGTTGCTGTGAGGGCGGCAGTCAGCACCTTGGAAAGGAACAAGAATCGATTAGGTATCTACTGTGTGCTTTTCCTCTGAAACAGCTTTAATGACGTCTAATTGGATACAATCAAAATAACGAACGGATTCCTCACTCTCCAATTTTCCTTTCGTCCCTTCACAGTCCCTCCCTCTACCCCTCCCCAGGCAACCACCGATCTGCAGTCACTGCCATTAGATTGCATTTCCTGGATTTTTATATAAATGGAATCATGCCCATATGATTCCTTTTCATCTGACTTCTTTCACTCAGCAAAATTATGTTGAGCTTTGTTCATGTTGTAGCATATATTAATCGTACATTCCCTTTTGTTCTGAGTCGTATTCCATTGTGTGGATAGACGGCACACCCGCAAATAACGTCGTTTGGTTCAACGTTGTTCTCCTATAATGTTGATGAGGTGCCATAGGAACTTCACTCTTGTTTGTGTCAATTAGCCTCTGGTGCTCTAATCCGATCCGAGTGGTGGAGGGTGTGCTGGGTGGGAGCTTTGGCTTTGCCATACCTCAAGCAGGGCCTCCAGCTGGCACCCTCAGTTGGCGGGGGGGGAGCATTATACATGTCAAACCAGAGGGCTTCTCCTTCAACATCCCAACCCAAATAAGGTCCCGAGTCCGAAAGAAAAATGCTGCCCATGGTTTCTAGCCTGCTCCCTGCCATGGGCTGGGGCCTCTCAGTTTCTTTCTTCTTCTTCTTTTTTTTTTTTTTACTTTTTTTAATTTAAATTCTTTATTGTTTAAAGCAGCGGTCGCCAACCAATGGTCCATGGACCACTTGTGGTCCGTGAGGTCCGAAAGGTTGGCGACCACTGGTTTTAAAGTATTACAGCCCTAGCTGGTTTGGCTCAGTGGATAGAGTGTCGGCCTACGGACTGAAGGGTCCCCGGTTTGATTCCGGTCAAGGGCACATACCAGGTTGTGGGCTCGATACCCAGTAGGGGGCATGCAGGAGGCAGCCAATCAATGACTCCTTCTTATCATTGATGTTTCTATCTCTCTCCTTCCTCTCTGAAATCAATAAAAATTAAAAAGTATTACATGGGTCTCCTTTTTTCCCCATTGACCTCTTCCAGCTGCTCCCACCCCCCAACACATGCCCTCACTCCCCTACTGTCTGTGTCCATTGGTTATGTTCATATGCATGCATACAAGTCCTTTGGTTGATCTCTTACCCCCCCCCTCCAATTACTTTCTTAATATTATAAAATAGCCAGTCAGTGTTCACACACACATACACACACAGCCTATGGTAAAACTGGTTTCATTATGTCATTTCGCTTAAAATCACAGAACCTATTGACAATGGAAACTGAGGACTTACAGTACCACAAACTGTTATCAATTCAACTGTTGAGAGACATTTAGGTTGTTTTCAAGTTTCAGCTAGTACCAACCAGCTGCTCTGAACATTCATATACAATTAAATGTAAAAATATATGCTTTCTCTCTGGCAAGAGGACTGGTTCCCGGCCACGGATGTTCCGGAGGGGAGAGGGGTCACACGCATCCCAGGCACAAGCGGAGAGGAGCAGCTCATCTGGCTAATGCTGAGCAGGTGGCGGGACAAATGCTGCCCCTCCCCCGGGCCCCACGCCTTCTGCAATAATCTCCTCGGGGCTGTTGAAGCCACTGGGAGCCCCACTGGCACCTCAGAATCACAGTGTTACTGATCAGGATGTGAGGCTGTTGTCTGGGGAGGCTGGGGGAAAGGAGTGGGTGTGCCAGCCAGTATCCTCTTTGCCTTCCTTTGCTAACTTGGGATTTTGAGCCGGTTGGGGTATAGCTGTGATTCCCTGCCGCCCTGAGAACCTCTCTGTTCCCTTCTTGGGCCTAAACCCAGCCTGCTGATCCAGGGGTGTGTGTCCACTGAGGGTGGGATGGAGGTGGTTACAATGTGGGGAAGTGGCCTGAGTTGACCCTGGGTTCCTCACATGCTTGTCCTTCTGGGGGCTTGAGGAACAGGGGTCAGGGCAAACAGAGGTCGTGGTGCTGGCTCAGGGTGGGGCTACAGAGTCGGAGTTACTGATTTCATTTTCAATAAGCCTAGGTTTGTTACATTGGTTTCCCAGTTTTTTTTAAATAGACTTCTAAAAATAAATAAATAAAGAGACCTTGTTTGGGCTCCAACAGATCCTTGTACACTCGTGGTCAATACAGCATTATTCACAATACTGGAAAGGTGGAAAGAACCCAAGTGTCTACCTGCAAATGAATAGATAAACTGAATGTGGTCTACCCATGCAGTGGAGTATCATTCCACCATTTAAAAAAAAAAATGATTTTTGCCTAGCCGGTGTGGCTCCTTGGTTGAGCATTGACCTATGAACCAGGAGGTCACGGTTTGATTCCCAGTCAGGGCATATGCCCGGGTTGTGGGCTTGATCCCCAATGTGGAGCATGTAGGAGGCAGCCGATCAATGATTCTCTCTCATCATTGAAGTTTCTCTCTCTCTCTCTCCCTCTCCCTTCCTCTCTGAAATCAATAAAAAATGTTTTTTAAAAATGATCATCTTTAAAAAATAAAAAAAGAAAATTTAGTACATGCTACAAGATAGATGAACCTTGAAAATATTATGCTAAGTGGGGGGTGGGGGGGGAAAGCCAGTTATGAAAGGACAAGGTATTAGCTGGCTTAAAAATAAAAAAAGAAAATTTAGTACATGCTACAAGATGGATGAACCTTGAAAATATTATGCTAAGTGGGGGCGGGGGGGAGCCAGTTATGAAAGGACAAGGTATTAGCTGGCTCGAGCTGCCATAACAAAATACCACAGATTGGCGGGCTTAAACAACAGAAATTTATCTTCTCACAGCTCTGAAGGCTGGAGTCCAAGATCAAGGTGTGGATAGATTTATTTTTTCCTGAGGAGAGCAGCTCTCCTTGGCTTGCAGATGGCCACCTTTTCACTACATCCGGACATGTTTATCTCTGTCTGTATTATGTGTCCTAATCTCCTCTTCTTATACGGATACCAGTCCTATCAGATTAGGACCCATATATATGAGCTCATTCACCTTAGGTACCTCTGTGAAGACCCTATCTCCAAGCACAGTCACATTCCGAGGTACTGGGGATCAGGACTTCAACATATGGATTTGGGGGAGACATAACTCAGCCTATAATAGGTAAATATTATGTGATTTATATGAAGTACCTAGAATAAGCAAACTCAGAGAGACAGAAAGTAGAATGGTGGTTGCCAGGGGCTGGAGGGCAAGGGTCACAGGAGTTATTGTATAGTGGGTAGAGTTTCTACTAAGAATGATGAAAAAGTTCTGAAGATGAATGTAAGTGGTGATGGTTGCACAACACTGTGGATATACTTAATGACACTGAACTGTACATTAAAAATTGTTAAAATGGTAAATTTTATGTTATATATATATGTATTTTTATAATAATTTTTTAAATGAATAAACAAAGACTTAGGAAAATAAGAGAGATTAAAAATGAGGGTAGACACAACTAAAGATAAACCCTCAGATCATAAATACTTTATTTTTTTATTTTTGTTAATCCTCACCTGAGGAAATTTTCGCCATTGAGTTTAGAGAGTGGAAGGAGGGGGAGAGACAGAGAGAAACATCAATGTGAGAGAGACATTAATTGGTTGCCACATGCGCCCCAACTGGGACCGAGGATCAAACCTGCAACCCTTGACCAGGAATCAAATCCACGACCCTTTGGTGTGCAGGCCGATTCTCTAACCACTGGGAACACCAGGCAGGACACAAGTCATAAATTCTTAAACAGACCTCACTTAGCCTATGAAATCTCCACACTGGTTTCATCCCACATCAGCCACCACCACCGCACCACCTTCCAGGGCAAAAGCCTCCCCTTCCCCAGCTCAGTAATAAACAGAAGCTGCCATACTTACCTGGCAGGAGAGCTACCATGACCACGAAGGTAGTTTTCCCAGGGCCAGGCTTATCCATTGCACTATGGATGTGCTGCCTCCTGCGATTTCCCCTAATGTGGGAAACTCCACTGCATAATTTGTGGTAGTGGGGGACTGTGTTCCTGCATGCATGAATACATGCATGCATACATACATACATACATACTAGTACATACATACATAAAAGCTGCCAGAGTACTCAGCCTAAGGGTCCCCACCTTCACATGGTTCCTATAGTTTGATCCTTCATTTGGCAAGTGACTTGCTAGATCAATCCATGCCTGAAACAGTTCCTCAAGGGGCTGGGGGAACCAAGTGGGACCCTGACAATGCAGGCCTCTGTCTGCATCCACTCTACACTCAACACTGACACAGCGCATGAAGTAACGCTTGGGAGAGCATTTTCCATTTATCTTAGTAAGTAAAGGTCACCTACCATAGAAGGACCCAAATTCCCACTCACAGCAGCAATCTCCTCCATGATAACTCTGACAGATACATATCCAGCCTCTGTTTGAATATCTTCAGTGACAGGGAACTCACTACCAGAGAGCACCAACTCCACGGTTTTGAATATCATGTGAAGTCTAGAACAAGCCACAGTGCTCCAGATCTCCCCACCTGCCCCCTCAACTTGCCTCCCACAGTCAGGGACAGGCACCATGAGGATCCCATGCTGAATGGAGACCATCTCTCCCTTAATCTCAAAGAAGCAGCCCCCCACTAACCCCTAGTGCCTGGCCAGACCCACTGACATTTCCGTCTACCTACAAGCAAATGAAATTTCCATCCATCTTCTTTGCGACCGGAATTTTCAGAGCATCATCTGTATCTCTCACAGGGCAAGAGGCAATGTGAGAGAGACAAGTATCAACAAACTAATCTCTGGTACTCGTGCAGTCTTCTCAAATCACTTTCCTGTTTCCTCTTTCATTTGATTCTGAGGGTGACCATCGAGACAGGCGACACCCGGGGAGACCTGTGACTTGTGCCTCCTAAGTCAAGAAATTCTGCAGCTGTAACTCTTAGCTCCTTTAACACCAGGAGTGTGGAGGGGACCGCAGGTTTGGAAACTCATTCCTTTGTACAGCTATGAGATTTAGGGCTGGTCCTGGCCTGCAGCCCCCAGTCCTATGCCTTCCTCTAGTCAGCAGGCGCTCTTGTCAATCAACAGAAGAAACTTGCAACTCAGCAGGGCAGAAGAAGAGAGGGAAACAAGGCAGGGGCTGATGCTATCCCCACCCCAGCCCAGGACTTTTAGGGCACAGGAGGGCATGCAGAACTCAAGTGAAAAAGACACCCTCCTGGCTCTGGCCGGTTGCTCAGTGGTTAGAACATCGGCCAGTGGACTGAAGACTTGCGGGTTTGATTCCTGGTCACGGGCACATACCTCAGTTTCCCCAGCCCCAGTAGGGAGTGCATGCAGGAGGCAACCAATCATTGTGTGTCTCTCATATAGATGTTTCTCTCTCTCTCCCACCCCTCCTCTCACCCTTCCACTCTCTACAAATCAATGAAAAAAAATAGCCTCAAGTGAAGATTAACAACAAAAAGAGGAAAAAGACAAATGACACAGGGACAGTAGCATCCAGGAAAGCACAGAGGGGCAGCTGGATCAAGACGGGGCAGTGAGATGGACTCGGGTGGGACAGGGTGGAAGCCAGAGCCATCAAAACTACGAGGCTAAGGACTATGTGGCCAGCCAGCTCTAAGAGGCAGCTGGAGGGTTTGCATGTGCTTTACATACTGGTCTGAGGCCAGTTAATCAACTGCTAAGGAGGCCAAGGTCACAGGATGGCCCCCCATTTCGCTAGATGGCCCTTCAAACATCTCAGAGCTGGGGTGACTACCCTGCTGCCAAAGATGCCTCCACATCATGAGACAAGGAACAGTGTTTATTATAACCTACCCCCATGCCACAGAAGCATAAAGGCGGCTTCCCGCTACTCATAAAGTACAGCAAGTAAGCAAAAATTGGAAGTACAGTGGGGCCTTGACTTACGAGTTTAATTCGTTCCGAGACCGAGCTCGTTAAGGAGCTCGTTAACTCAAATTACTCTATCAACTCAATGCAAAAAATCGGCCGAGAGACAGCTGGTATCTCAAAAAACTCGTTAGTCGGGGCACTCGTAAGTCAAGGCCCCACTGTAACAGTTAAAAGAAAACCACATAAAGCAGGCACACAAAATAGAACCATTCACAAGGCTAATACAAAAGCAAATTGCCCCACATATGAAAGTCCCTCACGTGTAACTTGATCACTTGCCAATTCACAGTGTCCTTAAAATAAGAATAAACCACTGCTCGGGAGAAGTGAAATGATTTCTGCTACTGAGACTCTACAGCAAGCATGTCAAACTCACGGCCCATGGGCCACATGTAGCCCACAATGAATATTTTCACAGCCCAGCCAATATAACAGTATGTAAGAAACATTTTAGCCGAATCCGGTTTGGCTCAGTGGATAGAGCGTCGGCCTGCAGACTGAAAGGTCCCAGGTTCGATTCCGGTCAAGGGCATGTACCTGGGTTGCGGGCACATCCCCAGTAGGAGATGTGCAGGAGGCAGCTGATCGATGTTTCTCTCTCATCGATGTTTCTAACTCTCTATCTCTCTCCCTTCATCTCTGTAAAAAATCAATAAAATATATAAAAAAAAAATAAATGTAACTACTTTCCTCTCAAAAAAAAAAAAAGAAACGTTTTAATAAAAATTTTGTAACTTAATTTTTATAATATCCTGTATACATAATTATTAATAATGAACTACAACGTTCACTAGTGACTGATTACTATAATCATGTTGCATTCATTTCCCTTATGCACCTTGTGTGTGCAGGTGCACCATTTCTCTCCACTAATACTAGCAGCGAATATTTTAGCAGCTGATTGCCACGTCATTAGTCTTGGACTGACTTGTTTGGTGTGTGCAACAGGAAATATTTCGCTTTCAGAGAACAAGAAAAATAGGTCTATTTGCATTATGCTTATTAATTTGTGCAGTTATTCAGTGTCTGGTAAGTTAATGTCCAAGAAAAAATATTAATTTTTATTAAAATATTCTATTGTTTTATGTTAATGATTACTCCTTTATTTCAGCCCTTTGTATGCAGCAAGTCTCTATCAAAATAAACCTACATTTCTATGAAAATTGAAGCTTTTGGTTCTTTTGCGGCCCACATAAACTTAAACCTTATCTGGCCAGTGTTAGCCTTTGAGTTTGACATGCTTGCTCTACAGGCATTTCTTCTGAGGCTCTTCTTAAAGAGGACACGGTGTAATGTAACCATCTTTTGAGAACATGGGAGAAGAGAGACATTTCCAGTGAGTTTTATCCCTAACAGAGACCCTTAAAATAGGGCAAGGAGGCCACCAGGTACCAAGAATGCCCAACCCCCTCCCAAAGAAACCACCACCAAAGACAGTCAATGGCACATGCTTAGGATGTATTTATCTTATCCTCCACTGCCAAGTTACCACCTCACACACTGGTGGCAGAGGGGAAACTGCCACAACTGACTTGGGGGATAGTACCCACTAAAGTACATTCACAGTAACCGTGAATTGGAAACAACCTAATTCCATCACTAGGTGAATGGCTAACCAAATAGTGGCATATTCATACAGTGTAATACATTTAGCAATAAAAATGAACAAACTGGCCCTAACCGGTTTGGCTCAGTGGATAGAGCGTCGGCCTGCAGACTGAGGGGTCCCGGGTTCGATTCCGGTCAAGGGCATGTACCTTGGTTGTGGGCACATCCCCAGTGGGGGGTGTGCAGGAGGCAGCTGATCGATGTTTCTCTCTCATCGATGTTTCTCACTCTCTATCCCTCTCCCTTCCTCTCTGTAAAAAATCAATAAAATATGTATTTTTTTAAAAATGAACAAACTGCTGATATACACAAAAACATAAATGAATCTCAGAGATGTTATGTTGAGCAAAAGAAGCCAGACAAAAAGAGTATATAGAGTTGACCCTTAAACAACATGGGTTTGAACTGTGGTCCATTTATACAAGGATTTTTTTTAATGAATATACCATTGGCCCTCCATATCCCCAGGTTTCACATCCTTGCATTCAACCAACCATGGATCAAAAACAGTATTCAGCCCGGCCGATGTGGCTCAGTGGTTGAGAGTCAACCTATGAACCAGGAGATCACGGTTTGATTCCCAGTCAGGGCACATGCCCGGATTGCGGGCTCGATCCTAAATGTAGGGCATGCCAGAGGCAGCTGATCAATGATTCTCTCTCATCATTGATGTTTCTATCTCTCTCTCCCTCTCCCTTCCTCTCTGAAATCAATAAAAATATATTAAAAAAAAAAACAACAGTATTCAATCCAAGTTTGGGAACCCATAGATGTGGCAGATTGACTATATGCATTGTTCTACGCCATTTTATATAAAAGCCTTGAGTATCCTCAGATTTTGGTATCCACAGAGGGGACGGGGATAGTTCCTAAAATCAATCCCCCACAAATACCAAGGGATGGCTGTAGTTAAGTTTTGAGGGAGTCAAAAATTGGACGTAGATTTCAACTGCATGGAAGGTCAGCACCACTAACCTCCCTTGTTGGTAAAGGGTCAACGACATACTGTATGATTTGTATGAACATCTAAAAGGGACCAAACTAATCTATGATGATAAAAATTAAAACCACTGTATACCTACCAGAACAGCTGTTTTAAAAATAATAGCCCTGGCCAGTGTGGCTCAGTTGGTTGTTGGTTCGATTCCCGGTCAGGGCACATGCCAGAGTTGCATGTTCAATCCCCAGGGGGCGGCATGCAGGAGGCAGTCATCAATGTTACATCAATGTTTCTCTCTTCTCCATTTCTCTCTCTCTAAAAATAAACAAACTATTCTTTTTTAAAAAAGAATATAATAATCTGACATTACCAAGTGTTGGTAAGGATGCAGAGCAACTTGAATTCTCATACATTGCTGGTGCACTATATGGTACGGAACTATGTCCACACATACATAAGTGAGAGCATGTAAAATTAGTAAAAATTTGAATAAGTCTCGTGGACTGCACCTATTGCAATTACCTGGTTTCATGTTGTACTTTAGGCATGCAAGATGTTAGCACCTGGGGAGGCTGGGTGAAGGGTGCACAGGACCTCCCAGACATTTCTATAATTATTCCCAAATTTTTAAAAAACATTTTAAAAGATAAACTGAGATAGGCCAGTAAACTAGGACAAGTGGAAAAGGGAAGACAGAGAGTTGAACAAACTGGCAATTAACAGCAGATACAGAAAGTCATCTCCCTAGGGATAACATCTAGGCCTCAGTTGTATTTCAGCTCCAGACCCAGAAAAGGAGTAAAACCAGGTGGGTGACAGCTGCGATGACTAACAATCCCCTGCCCTAGCACTGATCAATCCGTGGAGACCAGGACCCTGAAGGAGCACACCTGGAAAACTGATGAATATTCTGTTGAAACCCTCTCATGAGACCTCCCCTAAGATTCCCACCTACAAGAAAGAGATAAAAGCGTGGAGACAAAGGACCTAGTGCGAGCTCTTCCTCTGGGGAGTAGCCTCCACCATTTCCTTTCCCCTCTTCTTCCCTCACTTCTTCCCCCACAAGCATGTATCGACTAAACCCTAAAGGACCCCATGAGACTTCTAAACTGTAAGGGACCCCATGAGACTCACAAGCAGGGGAGCAATAGGCAGCAGCAACTCATCTCAGGCTAACCCCTGGACCTGTTCCCAAGGCCCCGTTTTCTCTGACTTCCCAGAGAGCTAGGGCAGCCCAGCCTAGCTCTCCTGTTGCTTCTTCTATGCTAAGCCCTTTCTTGTTTTACTGTGTCCAGCTTTTACCGTGCGCAGCACTTTCATAGTCTCCTGGACTCGTGTTGTGAAGTTTTTCCTGCACGAAGCCAAGAACCCACACATTCCCGGCCAGCCCTAGGCAGACCCGCCAAGGGCAGGTCCCCTTTCCGGTAGCAAAACCACTTGAGGGCTTGG